AGACATTTCTATATTATGTGAAATTACTTCGTAAAAGTAAAGTAAACTCGTAAAAGTGAATTTTATGATGAAAGGAAAGAAACATTTTTTTTTTTTTTTTTTTTTTTTTTTTTTTTTTTAATCAATATCAATCTACTTTGGTATAATAAAACTTGTTTTAACGTTTCAATTCGATACATTATGTACTATTCTAAATAATTAAGTCATTAATAATTATATAACTATTAGTGAATTTGTTAAATTTTATTTTTTTTTTATTTTATAAAAAAAGAAAAAGAAAAAAGAAAAAAGAAATTGAAATTTTACAGCAGAGACATCTAATGGGATATGGAAAAAGTTGACATCTAAATTCTCAGTTTAGATAAATGTCGGTAAAGAAGTGGCTCTACGTTAGCGAACGTCTTTTCTCATGAAAATCAATGAAGTTGTTAAGTTACCGACTTATCATCGTTGAATAAAACTTTGAAGATACAAGTAACATAAAATTACATTAGACTGCATATTCTCAGAATATTTTTCTAATAAATTGTTGATATTATTATACCGTATGAAATTATGATAAATTCAGGAATATATATATATATATATATATTGTGATATCTATGAATCACTTCTATGAGTCATTCGTAAGTAAACGAAACTCTGATTCTTATCGATGAATTCTCTTGCTAGTTCAGATTTCAATCAGGCTTTACCGAATGCAATTTGGATGTTACCAAATTGATAAATGCTGAAATGGCATGAAGGGTGCACAACCCTCATCATTTGAGATCTTCTCTTTACAAAAAAAGTTTTATCTTCAAATTGCATTCTTCGATAAATCCAGAAACAGCTTCATTTTCAACGCAATCGTTATACTTTTTTTAAAGGACGCATAATATCTATATGTAACAATATACTACGTATCTAAATTGTATTTAATTGTTTTTTTGTTCTCTTTAAAAAAAAAAACCCCTTATGCTCGAATATACCAAATGGTATTATGATACGTCTCGTGCGTATCATACTATATACTAATTTTGTAGCCGAAAAAAAAAAAAAAAAGAAAAAAAAATACAAGGAAAAAACAAAAACCATTTGCCTTCATTATCATTCATGACAAGGGGTAATATTCCCATCGAAGATAAAGAATTTTTCTTAGGTCTTCCCCTAACAGGAATAATCAAAACTTTCTCAATAAGTTCAGTAAATATTGCTAAAGTTATCGAAAAATATGACGATATAAATAAGTTTTAACGTTGCCACGAGAAAATCTGTTAGACAAACGTACGTTCGAATCTCTGAGATCTTTTATTCCATCGGCGAAATTGAGAAAAATAAAAGAAAAAGAAATAGAAGGAATAATGAGAAAAACGAAAAGAATTTATTCTATTTACATTGGACAGTTACCGATCTTCAAAGCTTATCTACTTTATTCTAAACGTCTACTTCGATGTTCACATAATACATACTATAAAGTTATCCAAAAATAAAGTAAGATACGATTAACCCTCTGACATCGAATCGTCGATTCTTTACAAGAATAGACTATTTAAATGTGATTCGAGTTCATTCTTATTATCGTTATTGGGAGCAATGCACGATCCAATTTTCTTGCTCGCGAATTGTGCATTCCATTTAATGGAACCTTTCATTTTACTCGAGTTCATTCGTTCTAAGAGCTCCTCGTATTTATAATTTCAATTACTAACAGCATTTTTTTATATGAAATAAACGAATCAATGTTATACGATATATTCGTAAAAACAAAAAAATTCGTCAATGTATCTATAGAGTACTTAATCAACCTATTTGAAATTAATCGATTAATACTAATCAATTATCAAAATTTTTCTATTGACGAATTATTTCGTAATCCTTTCCTATTTGTTACATTGGACGTACCTTAATATGATTTGACTGTGTGTGTCTATCTGTCTGTCTGTTTGTCTATCCATGTAAATCTCTTAAATAGGAGTTAGTCTTTGAATAGCAAACAGTAAGAAAGAGAGAGAGAGAGAGAGAGAGAGAGAGAGAGAGAGAGAGAGAAGTACAGTTTTTTAATATTTCATTCCTAACCACAAGTCTACGTGCGTATTACAAAATTTTTTTCGTCTTTCTAAAATTTTAACTTAAAGAACATGATATAATTTTCTTTTCTTTTTATTTTTTCTTTTATTTTTTCTTTTATTTTTTTTTCATTTTTTTTTTTTATTTTTTTTTTATTTTTTTTTTTTTTATTTTTTTTTTTTATTTTTTTTTTATTTTTTTTTTTAACATGACAAGTGTTGTATTTTTGTCATATAAACGAATGGAATAAAGATAAAACAAAGAAATAAATTGTCATCTCTTCGTGACGAGATAATTTATGGAAACATTATCAATCGATTAAAAAATAACGTAATGGGAAGCAGGATAGTAGACGAAAAAAAAAAAGAAAAAAAGAAAAAAGGAAGAACTAAAGAGAATAAAAGAAAACTTTTATCTTTCGTATCAATAAGTTTCTACAATCTCATTTTAGATACTTTTTGTTTCGTGTGTCGTTTAAGAAACACGAAATCAACGATAAAACTAATTCTGGCGATCTTCCATGATTTTTCTTTTAGTTAGTCGCTATTTATTGGCTCTTTAAAGAAAGAAAGAACTTGTTTTCTTTTTTTTTTTTTCTTTTCTTTTTTTTTTTCTTTTCTTTTCTTTCACCCTCCAATCTATCTTACGTATCATTCGTCGTACTTTTTTCTTTCTAAATATTATCATTTCTTTTCTACTTTGAATAATGAAATTATATCTTTTTTATATTTATTAATAAGAATATATATATTTGGAAATTTATATGTCGAAATCAAAAAGGATCTTTAGTGATAAACTTGATCATACTATTTCTTAATCTTGTAATAACTGTCAGGTTGTTCCCCCTAGGAGAACAAATCGTAAAGGAATCATTTTACGTCAATCAAAGGATTCACATTATATCCATCCCTCTCATACTAGACATGTAATACGTCAACGTTAAAAGAAGAATGATCTTTTTATTTTTTAATTGAATATTTATAAGATTATAAGATTATTTATAAGATTATCCATTTGAAATAGTTTCAATTATTATACACGTATTGCATGTTAACAATAAATTTTATATCATTCCATTTTATCAGATAAATAATTATCTACTTGTGAAATATTCATAGATTAAAGGATTATTTATATAAATGTATTAAATAATTTTAGAAATTAGAAATAATAGAAATAATAGAAATTATCATTATTTCTAGAAATTATAAATAATTAGAAATAATAGAAAAATATATTTCAAGTTTAAAATCAGTCAGATTAATTTAGAAAATAAACGTGATCGTTAAACGATCGAAATATATAAATATATTCATTCGTAAATATATTTATTATTAATAATATCTATTAGAAATAATATAGATTTAAATTGAACTCTATATGAATTAATGTTTAATTAATAAATTAATTTAGGAGAGTTAATAAAGCATCAAATGAATTAGAAGGATATAAAACTTGACAAACGTGAGAATTTTCAATAGTCATTAAGAGAGTGAACGATTTGAATTCTTATTTTTTATTTGGTGATAAAATTGCTCAAAAATACTCAGAGAAACTTTAACGTATAATTATATAGTATCTCGAAAGTCTCGTTTTAGAAGAATCCAAGAAAAAGAGAGAGAGAGAGAGAGAGAGAGAGAGAGAGAGAGAGAGAGAGAGAGAGAAGGAGAGAGAGCGGAATGAGATAAGGTCCGGATTAAAGTTGAAATACTTACTACGATTTCGGAGTTACGAGAGGGAGAGTTTGTTTAAACGTTTTAATTTGCTCCCCGATTTCTTTTTCTTCCTCGTCTTCTTCTCCTTCTTCTATTTCTTCTTTTACTTCTTCTTCTTACTTCCAACCTGTCGATTTATTCCTTTTGGTCTATAAATTAGTTGAATCTTCAAGTGGATACATTGAAGACAAATATCTATTCCGATACTTCGAATTCCAACTTAATTCGACTCTCATCTAAATCTTTACTTTCTACCTTTCATGGATTTTATTTTCGAACGATAACTCTATTTCCCGCTGAAAATCATTGTATTCACGAAAACAGGAAGGAAGGAAGAAAGGAAGGAAGAAAGGAAGGAAGGAAGGAAGAAATCGAAATTTCTCACCACGTTAAAAGTTTCATCAGTTTGATAATCTTTCATCATTTTCGAATAATCTATCTCAACAGAGAATAGATATATTCGAGAAAATATTAATAACAATGACATGTCCCTCGAATTATTAGAATCTTATCACGTAATATTATCAATTCGTGATTATCTATCGAAATGAATAAGAAAATAAAAGGATAATTCTTTACGAAGGGTAAAGATAAAAAATTAAAAATGCGTATGAATTTTACGTATCGATTTCTTTTTATTATTATTATTATTATTATTATTATTGTACGATATGCTATTACATTTCTATTATTATTAACAATTGAAACGTTATCAGAAAGAAGTTATCGTTAAAATTTTTATTCACTTTACTAGACTTTTAACAGGAAAACATTTTTTTTTTCCATCCATTATTACAAATCTTTCGCGCAACTATGAATCTTTATTTTATTTTCTTTCCCCCTTTTTTTTTTTTTTTTTTTTTTATTTTCTTTCTTTCTTTCTTAAAATGATATATCAATTTTTATTATCAATGACATACAATTATTTGTCATTTATGAGATAGCCATCATCGTATAACTCATATAACATGATCGTAAAGGAATATAAATTTGAAGTACAAATTAAGAATTATTTATTTCATCATAAATAAATCATTTTTAAGTGTAAATAAAACAAATTTGTTTGAAAAGAAAAGATCGACGAATAGTGAAAGAGACAGAGGGGACAAAAAGAAAAAAAAAAAATAAAATAAAATAAAAGTAGGTGACAAAGAAGGAAGTAGAGCACCGTGGGTGTAGAAGGGGAGGAGGGGAGGGGAGTGGGAGAGAGAGAGAAAGAGAGATAGAGAAAGAAAGAGAGAAAGAGACAGAGAGAGACAGAAAAAGAGAGAGAGAGAGAGAGAGAGAGAGAGAGATGGATCAACGTTGGATCGAGTTCGCCTATGGAGTCGAGAGCCGCAGCCGCGCTGAGTCTCAACTCGTGACGCTCTTTGCCATCGGCAGTTCGCGATCTAAGCGTGCCGCGCTCGGTCGTTCTCCTTTTCGTGTCTTCTCAGTATCTCCAGGATCCATTGGATCATTAAACTATTCATCGATCCATTTCATGTTTACGATCATATCTACAATTTTTCATACGAAAAGAATAGTAAAAATAGAAAGAAGGAAAAAAAAAAAAGAAAACAAACTGTGTACTCGAACAAGAAATTATTATTGATCCTGACATATGTTTTTGATATAATACATGAACATGAATTGATTTGATTTAATTTTTTTATTTAGAACATATTTAAGGGTAGAGGAAAAAAAGAAAAAAAAAAAAAGATATGTATATGTATGATACTATTGTTATAAATAAATTGTATCGGTTCGATGTCGTTAAGAATAATATATAATGAATTAAAAATATATAATATCGATATCAACGATAGATCGTTCTTCTCATTCACGATTTGAAAGATAGATAGATAGAGATAGATAAATAGAGAGGGAGAGAGAGAGAGAGAGAGAGAGAGAGAGAGAAAGAGAGAGAGAAATCTGAAGGATAGATCTTTTTTGGATCAAATTCAAAAACTCATGGAAATGGTTTGAAAATAACGAAGAAGGAGACGTATCGTTTCGTTGAAAGGAAATGGAAAATTCAGAGGAAGAGGAGGAGGACGACGAAGAAGAAGAAGAAGAAGAAGAAGAAGAAGGAGATGCAAAAGACGAGGAGAAACGTGATAAAAAGTATTTAAAGTTAGATAAAGATAATAATAAATCAATAGGACGATATAAATATGGCAGGTTCGCGTGTCGATTCGAATCTTGAAATGGATAATAAAGGAACTTTGACCTTTCCAAGGGAAAGCAATTACGATGACAATGAGAAAGAATCAAAACGTGATTCTTTTGGTGAAGTTAACGACAAGAGAATGGCTCAGGATGATAGGGAGAAAGTTCACTTATCGAATTGTAACGACTCCGAAAGAATTCGAAAAGTTTCGATGGTCTTACGTGAAGGAAGGTATGAGAACGATGAGATTCTTGATTGCGAGAAGTCAAAGGGCGGTGAAAAAATTTTATTTGAGGCCGATCGAAGATCATCGAAATTCCAACGGCAGATTTGTGGTTTGCGAAAGCAGGAAAGAATAGTAACGACGGCAACCATAGAAGACAGAACGATAAATGAAAGATCGATCAATGGGAACGATCGAGGAAAGAATCTCGATATTGAGGATTTAACTGAGTGTTCTGTTAAAGAGAGAAATCTGATCGGGAGGAAAGTGGAGAATCATCGAACGTTCAAAGAATCTACTCGAGAAAGGATCAACGTGAAAGAATCTTCTATGAGGAATCGAGTTTCGTCTGTTAAAAGGACGAAATCTAAGATCGATAAAGATATCGAATCTCATCCACCTTTATTTTCTTCTACATCTTTTTCCTCTTATTCGGATAAAGAAAGGAGGAATATAAGGAAATGTCAAAATTGTGGTGAGCAACATTACACATATGGTCGATACTCGTATCTTAATAAGTATTCGACTTATTTTGAGGGTGATTTAGGTACTTACGAAAGGCATGAAACCTCGGCGAAGGTTATCTTAACTAATACCGCTCCAGTACGTGGTCCTGATTCAAGATTAGAGACGCCAGTAACATCTTTGCTGTATCGTAGCAGATCACTCCCAAGATTGTCCGTACACGACAGCGGTGTCGGATGCAGTGCTAATGAACAGACAGTACCTGGTCCAGGTCAACATGGTACGAAACAGCTGGTAGCCGATTTAAGGCAGCTGTTGACGTTAAAGCAACATTACTATCCAGAAGGTGGTTGGGGTTGGCTCGTCATACTAGTAGGAATGTTGGTTCAAATTCTCTCCCATGGGACACAGGGTGCTGTTGGTATATTTATTCAGCATGTAGCCAATCGATTTGGTCATCACGTTTATTTTGAATCAGGTTAGTCGATCTGTGATATATATTTTCTTACTGTAACTAAGAAAAATTAATAACAAAATTATATCTCTTCGTAGATATTGAAAATGATAATTAAATGATTTTAACATAATTTGATCTATAGTTCAATCTATGTAGTTCGTTCATTAGCTCTTTCTTCGAAAGGAATAAAAATATACAGCAGGTTGAGATAGATATTAGAAAATAGAAATGATATAATTAGAAAACCTTCTTAAGTAACAGCTTAAGTAGTCAGGATTAAAACACCATTAATCAGAATGTCTGATATATATATATATATATATATATATATATATATATATATATCGTATAGATCATTCGAATGTAACTTTAAAATATCTATAAAAAGATTAGATAGAAAAGTTCAACGAAAATATTCGTATAAGATGTTTCAAAAAAGTCGCAAAAATTTTCATTGGATTTATATGAAATATATACTTTCCATTGCGAATATTCATTCGAGAAGCATCCAATTACGTTCTCATAAAGTATATATAGAGTACTTCGTAATGTACTTTTTTTTACGAATTCGATCGTGTTACCAGTTGCGTAATACTATCGATGAACGAAACATGATTTTTTCAGGCTCGTCAAGCTACTTTTTCTGCTAGCAGGAAAGAGAACGAACGTATAGTACGTGATCGTCATTAGACGAATCGATTCACTAGCCTAAATGCCCGAAGCAAAATAGAGTTTTTCTTTTTATTTTTTTTTTTGCTTTTTTTTTTTTGCTTTTTTTTTGCTTTTTTTTTTATTTTTATTTTTATTTTTAATTGATGATTATCAATCGAATGTTTTCCTATAAAAGGAAATTTGTTGCAAAGGTGAAATTAAAAAGGTGTCAGCTGTGACATCGTGCGAGGATTTAACATATTTCTTTCCTTTGTTTTTTTTTTCCTTCTTCTTCTTCTTCTTCTTCTTCTTCTTCTTCTTCTCTCGACTACTTTGTTATAATTTCGTCACAAAGAAAGAAAAGGAAAAAAAAATAGAAAAGGAGAAACGTTTAATCGTATTTTGGCCAATGGCCAAAAGTCGCAAAAGTCTCACCGAGTATCCTTACATCTGTCCACCGTGTTACTATAACAAACGTTGTATATCCGAATTAAATACATTAACACCAGAAAATTCTCTAATTTCATTCACAATTGGACGAAGACGAATGAAATTTACCTCTTAGCGAATTTTTATATCCGTAAAAGTTAAAAGACATTTGTACGTTGCACAGGACGAATGAAAGTTATTATAAAAGAATTTTGTAAGATATAAAATTGTGTTAGGATGCTTAAAGAAAGAAAAATAGGAACACGTGAAATCATTTTTAAAAATTATTAAAATTCTTTTTATCGCGAGTATTTTAGACTCGAAAAATTCTTTTTTTTTTCTTTTCTTTTCTTTTTCTTTTTTTTTTCTGTTTCCTTTTTTTACAATTTCAATCTACTTACGTCCTTTCATAAACGTAACTTTAAAGTACACGTAAAAGAAGCATATAGAATTTGATCCCATCTCTGCCACGATTATTATCCTTTCCAATGGGATGCATTGAAAAAAAAGTAGGCGATCTGACAGGTAGAAAATCGCACGATTAATGTTTAGGCACAGTTGGTAAGATCGAATGAAACCGTTAGTTTTTTTTGTCGATCGATCGAGGCAACCTCCGAATTAAAAAATGAGATCGGTCTATGCTTGTTTCGTTCGTTCCTTTTTTTTTCTTTTTTTCTTTTTTTTTACTTTTTTTTTCAATCGAGCACGTACAACAGAATCAATCGCATCGGCTTCACTTTAGAAAAATGGGAGTACGTTCGATCGGCTTATACGAGCATCGAAAATTGCTTTCTCATGGCACGTAGGTAGATAGAATAAACAATACAGTTATTGAGCATTATGTATATATATTTTTATATATATGTATGTATGTATGCATGCATTATGTACGAATAATTTAACTTTCCGTTTAAATTTTAAATGATAAAAACTTGAAAACATTCGACTATTGTTTATTTTATTTCTGTCTTTTTTTTTTTTTTTCTTTTTCTTTTGTTATAAAGACATACTTAATTTATTTATATTTTTATTTTGTTTTAAATAGTATTATTATCGTTATAAAAAATATAAATATTTTGAATCCTCTAAACGAAAAAAAAAAAAAGAATATATATATATATATAAAGTTTTGAACAACAATTGAATCGAATTCAAATTATTTTCATTTGAATTATTATCACGTTACAATTTTTTATTTTTTTCATTTTTTAAGTAGACAAAAAAAAACCGAACGATGATTTATCTCGCTTGATCGTTAATTTAATTATTAAAACATTTATTAATTCTATATGATTTGTTTTTAAAATGCGTAATCAATTATTATAATACGAATGATAAATATATTTACCTTACCTTTGCCATATATTTACCTTTAACCACGACCTTTTGTAAGATGATTTTCTTATTTTCTAAAAGTATATGAAAGAAAGAAATGTGACAAGAATGGTCGAATGGAAAGCGTCCATCGTGACGTGTGTCTATAACAGTGAGAAAGAACGTGCTCGTTCACCGTAATAATCCTTTCCGAGAGAAAGAGAAAGAAAGAGAGACAGAGAGAGAGACAGAGAGAGAGAGAGAGAGAGAGAGAGAGAGAAAGACAGAAAAAGAGAGAGAAAAAGGACAACGCGCATCGTCGCTTCCGTATTTCCCGCCTTTTCGCGTGGCCCAGTTATCCTCTCGTACGGAAGCCCTTTCAAGAAGCATCAGTTCCAAGTAGAGATAAAATGTTTTTTTTTAGCACGAATTCAAAGGAACGAGAACTAAACGTTTAAACATTTTTATATTTGTTTTTGTAATTTATTTATTTATTTATATTTATTTAACAAAAAACGTAGGTACAACGAGAGAGAGAAAGAGAGAAAGAAAACGAAAAAAAAAAGAAAATTGATCAACGAAAATGATCGAAAATTTTTTTTTCGTTAATTTTCATGACGATTTGTTTCTTTTTTCTTTTTTTTACTTTTTTTTTTTTTCCCTCAAAGACGAATATTTAACGCGTTTTACACCCCCTTTGGATCGAGCTATCTAAAAAGGATATAAATCGAGCCGCGTAATGTTCCATTCAGTACGCCGCGAGTAATTACCCGGGAAACTTAAATGGTCGTTTTCATCTCTTTTCATCCTCCATTTCACCCCCTTCACCCCCTTTTCTTAGAAAATATTTTTGGACGGTAATGCGGCTTTAAAGGTTAATCCAAAGAATTACGAACTCGTTGAAAACTTATCGAAAACGTTTACAACGAGACGTGTTAGTTCCTTAAACGAAAACTTTGTATAATGGTATTCGAGAATGATTAAATATGATTGCCTCAACGAGACAAATATATTTTCTTACTTTCTTCGAACTATTACTCTCGAGTATATTTCTAATGTAAATCGTAAATAAAATGTAATTAATAATAGGCAAATTAATTGACGTCATAACGTGGACATCTCTCATACGCATGAAAGCGTTCATCTCGATAGCGTATCGGACAGATGCAAGATCGTTTCTTGAAATAAAAATAAGAAAGAAAGAAAAAAAAAAAAATAAATAAATAAATAAATAAATAAATAAAAGAAAAAAGGAAAAAACATAATGATCTGGACACATTCAGATCTTAGGTATTAGTTCGTAGGATCGATAACTCGTTGAATGATCGCAGTCGATTGAAAATAATATCTATACGTATTAATATGCTAATCATCGTCGTATATAATAAAATAAATTTGATTTACTTTTAAGTATTATAAAATTCGATTATACAATATTGGCGCTTACTAACTGTGAATAAAAATGATTCAAATGAATTTATTTATCGTTTAGATCATATAAGACCGATCATTTTGTAGTACTTAATCTTTTCGATATATCTAAGAGATACGATATAAGAGACATATTTCGAAGTATAGTGAGAATACAGCTTCCAGCTTTCGAAGTTATCTATCCAGATATCTTCTTTCTCATTCTTATTCTCTCTCTCTCTCTCTCTCTCTCTCTATCTATCTATCTATCTATCTATCTCTATCTTTCCTTATGTTATTTATAAATTTCGATTGTATTAAGAACAGGATGAAAATATCTCGACTACTGACTCACAATGTAACTCCTATATACCTTGTATAAGTCTTTTCTCTTTCTCTCATTCTCTCTCTCTTTCTCTCTCTCTTTCTCGGTCTGTCTCTTCCTTTCTTATTCTCTTACTGTGTGTCGGACAATCAACCGTGACCTACATTTACCTAAGTCACAAAGCATCGCGTCACTATGAGTACTCAGTAACAACTTGCAACATTTCAACCAGTTCGAGACCATTTTTCTTAAGAATGAAACAATTTTCATTTTCTTATTTAATTCTCTAATTCTGACGAAACTCCATAAACTCTTTCTTTCTTTCTCTCTCTCTCTCTCTCTCTCTCTTTCTCTCTCTCTCTCTCTCTCTCTCTCTCTTTCTTTCTCTTTCTTTCTCTGTCTGTCTCTTTCGAGAATATTCATTATTATAGATACTTAATCTCTTAAGATAGGTATAAAAAGACAATTGATTATAAAATGCATTTTATTATTTTTATTCGTTTACTTTAATAAACAAATAAAATCGAGATTACAAGATTTTTCACAGATTCGATCCGATCCGATCCGATCCGATCCGATCCGATTCGATTCGATTCGATTCGATTCGATCTATCATTGAATATATTTCGAGTACAACCGAATGCCATTGAATATATTTCTTGTTTGCAATATTAAATAAAGAGATTTTGGAAGCGATGATATAAAATGAAATGAATCTCAAGACTACTATCGTGAACGAAGTAAAATCGCAAACGTCGACCGTATTCTGAAGATCCAATTTTAAAGGGAAAAGAAAAAAGAATAGAAGAGAAAGAAAGAGAAAGAGAAAGAGAGAGCGAGAGAGCGAGAGAGAGAGAGAGAGAGAGAGAGAAGCTCTTTCTCTAGGCGCCATTCTTTCGAGGGAAAAAAAATCATCGGATAAGAGAATCACGAAACACGCATGGTATATCCTTTCCTCGGGTAAAAATGCAAAAGCAATTGCTATGCGTAAACTAAAAAAAGAAAAAGAAAAAAAAAAGAAAGGAAAAGAAAAGAAGAGAAAAGAAAAGAAAAAGGGAAGGGCAAGAAAAAAAGAGGAGAAAAAAGAAAAAATATAAAAAGAAGAAGAAGAAGAAGAAGAAGAAGAAGAAGATTGTCTACGCACATGGGAAAGAATGGGCGAATGATAAAAAGAGAAAGAAAAAGAGAAGGTAAAGGAAGTTTCGAAACCCCGTGGCGAACGTAAGCCATTTCGAGTGCTTTTACTGTTAAAGGATTCGCGAAGGACATCGCGAAGAAGGGAACGTTTGGTGTGTCCTATCGAGCCGACTAGACGCCTCGAAACTTTCTTTCCCTGACGAGAGGATTATTGTACCTCTTGTGTAGATAAAAAGTAAGAGAGTAAAAGAAAAAAAAAAAACGATAGAAAGAGAAAGAAAGAGAAAGAAAGAGAAAGAGAGAGAGAGAGTTGTGGGTGGGGATGGGATTCGGGGATGTGGTAGGAATGAGGGGGAAGGTCTAAAGATCTTTTTGCGAGAGAAAGGAAGATTCTCTTAGGTAAGAGGATTGTGGGTATCAACGTCGATGGGAACGCAGCTGTGTCACGAACGTTAACAACCGGATACACGAAGTCGTCGGATCTTTTCGAAGAATCTAAAAGTCTCGCAAAGACAACAACCCCTTTATTTTAGTACACAGGGACAAACATGATCTTCCTTTATCAACCGTTTGAATCTATCTTTTCTCTTATATCTCTCTTTACTTTTTTTCTTTTTTTTATTTATTTCTTTTTTCTTCCTTTTCTTTTTTTTTTTTTTTTTTTTCTTTTTCCATTCTTTCTGTTCGGTGGAAGATACTTCTCGATAAAGGGAAATATCCAAGAAGCTCTTCTAATCGGTTCCCGTTCTCCATGAACCCCTCTTCCCTCCCCCTCCCCTCAACCCCGATGTATTTAAACCATCAGCAGGAAAATTATTAGTCTATGTGAGTTTGAAAGATGATGGTGTCTCTATTTCTTGTTTTCTTTTTTTTTTTCTTTTTTTTTTTTTTTTCTTTTTTTCTTTTCTTTCTCTTTTCAATCTTGAAAAAAAAAGAAAAAAGAAAAATCATTCAACATTTTCGTGCTTCCTCGTGCATTAGCTATATTAGCTTATGAGAAATGTAAAGATTGAAAATGGAAAATGGCAAATTTAATTATAGAGTGTGATATATGAATAAAAAGTAAGAGAAAAAAAATTAAAAAAAAATAAAAAAAAAAAAAGAGAAAAAAAAAATAGAAAAACGAAAGAAAGATATGTTGTCATTTAGAAAAAACGAAATATAAAAATAAACCATCCTTTAAAGACACTAAGCATGAAAAGTTTAATTAGATTAGAGAGCACTCTTAGATCTAGATCTTCATGAACGTCACAATAATATTTATTTTAATTCTCTTTCTCTCTCTTTCTCTCTCTCTCTCTCTCTCTCCCTCTCTTCGAGTAAATGGAATTTGACAATAAAATTGAATACGGTATTGCGGTTATAAATTAAAGAGGTAGAAAGGAAAAAGAAAAAGAAGAAGGATAAAGAAAAAAATTACTAAAATAGAAATATGAATAAAGTTTCGGATGTGCGACAAAGATCGATAGTTTTAGCAGTTATATCTGGAAAAAGAACGTGTTTACGTGGTGCTCTCTTGGCTCTCGTCTCTCCTATAAAGTTGACTTCGTTACGATCGGCAAACGTAAGTTGTACGCGCCCGTGTATATGCAACGGCTTGCATCGAAAA